TATGGAAGTGAGAGCTGGACCATAAAGAAGGCTGACTGCCGAAGAATGGATGCTTTTGAATTGTGGTGCTGGAGGAGGCTCTTGAGAGTCCCCTGGACTGCAAGGAGAACAAACTGATCCATTCTAAAGGAAATCAATCCCGAGTGCTCATTGGAAGGACAGATCCTGAAGCTGAGGCTCCAATCCTTTGGCCATCTCATGAGAAGAGAGGACTCCCTGGAAAAGACCCTGATGATGGGAAAGTGTGAAGGCAAGAGGAGAAGGGGACGACAGAGGATGAGATGGCTGGACAGTGTCATCAAAGCAACCAACATGAATTTGACCCAACGCCGGGAGGCAGTGGAAGACAGGAGGGCCTGGCGTGCTCTGGTCCATGGGGTCACGAAGAGATGGACACTACTTAACAACTAAACAACAAACATACAGTTCAGTCTGGTTCCCATAAGCCATCCTGAATCATCAGAGCATTGGGGGACACTACTTAACAACTAAACAACAACATACAGTTCAGTCTGGTTCCCATGAGCCATCCTGAATCATCAGAGCATTGGTCTCTGTAGCATTCTATCCTCACAGTGGCCACATGAATGTGCTTGGTATGTCCACAGGCAGGACACCAGGACAAAAGCATGCTCTTGCTCACAATCCCCAGCAACTGCCACTCAGAAACATGTTCTTTCTAAATGTGAAAGTAGCATAGAACCATCATGATGGAAAGTCATAAAAGAGTTTGAAACATGCAGGATAGGCTGGTGCAGTTTTAATCCACTCCCCAGCCCTTAATTTCAATTTGCAAAGGGTCATCAGAGTTATGTTACAACAGTGGATAAAACCAAATATCAGTAAAGGTAACGGTTCCCCTTGACATTCTTAGTCCAGTGGTGTCCTACTCTAGGGGCGGTGCTCATCCCGTTTTTCAAGCGGCAGAGCCAGCGCTTGTCCGAAGTCAGTTTCTGTTGTCACGTGGCCAGCATGACTAGGGAATGCCATTTTACCTTCCCACCAAGATGGTACCTATTTATCTACTCACATTTACATGCTTTCGAACTGCTAGGTTGGCGAGGAGCTGGGACAAAGTGACGGGAGCTCCCTCCGTCACGTGGATTCGATCTTACAACTGCTGGTCTTCTGACCCTGCAGTACAGAGGCTTCTGCAGTTTAGCCCACAGCGCAACCACGTCCCAAATATAATTCTTACCAATTTGGATGTTTTCCTACCAAGCATACATGTTTCAGTTCTACTGGTGCTCAGTTTACTCAGGCTTTAAGTCAAAATGTAATAGCCTGCCAGTTTACAAAGCAGAGTTTGGACCCATACAATAACATCCTGGGTCACAACACAGGGCTGAGTTCCATACAACCTCTGGGACTCCAAAGTACAGCTTATTTCCATAGGACAGTTCCCTAATGCTGCAAATTGGTTCATATAATTTATAATTTATTTGGCTGCAAAACTGAGCAATCTTCTATATATAGGATTGGTCTAAGCTGCCAAGCAGTGTTCAGTTCTATGCAATAGTTATCCCAGTGACAAAGCAGAGACCAGCTCCACACTGTTTTAACAGCCTTCTATTATCAGGGTCAAACGTATAACACTCAAACATAGGTCTCAGAGCACTATAAAATGTAATAAAACTTCTTGGCAGTTTGAATCTATCATGATTTGTCACAACTGACATTTATCCTTGAAAGAGTTAACTCCATATGACTCCAAATAAGCTAACCGATCATATCAATGTGCATCTGGGTATCAAGGCATAAGTAGTTTCCTTGTTGGAATGATTCCAGGCAACATCACCTTGCCTATTTCTACAAGATTTATTCATCTACATTGCTTCTATGCATAAAAATCCAAGAGTTATTAAAATATGTAACTTTTTGAGACATTACAGGTACATTTTAATTGCTTCACCATGCAAAAAAAAAAATCATTCTTATAGCTATGAGAAGACGCTGTAGGTACAAATATCCATTCTTGAAATTTGTCACAAGTGATTTTTATCCAAAATGCTTAGAACTATGGAAAGTTTCAAACAGAAATACTGCATGTTCAAAAGCAAAAGTGGTATGCAGAACCTAAATCATGTTACAATCAGAGATGGGTTTGAACCAGAAAAAAATGGTGGTTTGTGTCTGTTCATGGTTTATTGTAGTTCATGAACCACAAACCACAATCAACAAACAAACAAACCCCAGTTCATGTGTGTCTGTTAACCTGAAGGTGGTGGAGAGAGCCTGTGAGCTCCATGGCCCAGGAAATCAGCCACTCAACAGAACTAAGTGCCGGCCAGGCAGGTAGGTGTAAAGGTGAGTATATTTAGGGTGAGAGGAGAGAAAACAGTAGTATTAGTCTGTCCCCATGAAGGTGGTGTAGAGATCTTGGTGGCTCTGAGGTCCAAGTGAAACCTTTCAACAGAACTAAGTATGAAGCAGGCACACTTGAATTTTAGTACAAAGGAGACTCACAAAGAAAAAGGAGTCCAGTGAAAAAACTATTTGCAAAAAATAGGGTTGAGCCAATACTCACTGGGGCAAGAGGGGCTGGAAATAAGACTCTAATTTCAAAATAAAGAAGGCTGAGATATGAAAGGAATCCCCTGGAATCTGTGTCTCAAAGCAAAAGAACAGGCGGTAGGGGGGGAGGAAGGAGGTGAAAAGCAATCCTAAAATACCAACCCACCCACCCTTTCTCAGCCACAAGAGTTAGATAATTTTTTTAAAAAAGTTGAAGAAGTATTGTACCCAGTTGAAGAACAGGCTTGAAGGGGGTGTAGTGAATAAAAATTAAATAAAATATATCTTGAAACACACACACACACACTGAAATACGAAAGAGCTATGTACCAATTTAAAGAAACCGACCCCCAAATCCCAGTAGTCAGGTTTAGTAATCTGAATCAGTTCAGTTCAGTTCAGTACTTGCCGAACGCATATGAAGTGAGTTCCTGGAGCAAAAATGATAAAATGGCTGCCATGTGCTCCTCTTATATATAATAAGAAACAACTCCCCCAGAACACGTTCAGCTGAATGTTTGGCTGCCAGACCTGCCAATCAAGCTGTCTCTATGTCTTGCCAAGGGTTGCCTAGTGGATTTGATTGACAGCAGCAGTCTGTGCAGGTGTGTGCATCAGGAGGGGTTAAAAAGGGACAAAACAAAACAAAATGAACCAAAAAATTGATTTGGAAGTTTATTGGTTCAGTTTGTTTCGGTTCATAGATTTTTCTAAACCCAAACCGAACTAACGAACCAGCCCATTGTGACATATTTTGGAGTTTGTTTTTTCGGTTTCTGCCCATCTCTTTTACAATCTTATTTTAAAATTGCAGGAGCATATAGCCTGAAAAGGCACAGTCAAAAAGCAGAAAATATACATCTCTTAAACTAACAAGTATATTTGTATTAAAAGTAAATATATATGAAAGTAAAATACATTTCTTAGCTTTCAAGCATGTTCAGACACACACAAAATTATTTAACAAGGTTCTTACCCAGCCAAGCCAATTTGAATCTATGGAGGACAATCATGATTTCTGTGTGTTGCCTTTGTGCTGTTGTATCTCCTGCCTGCTTCTTGCTTCTGCTGCCTGGTTTCTGTGTTGTTGGGGTATCTGGTGTATTGCAAATTGTGTGTCTCTTGTCTCCCTATATTTATATTTCTCTTATTTGTTTACATTTCCCTTCAACTATAAACAACTGAAATTTGCCACAACTGGTAACCCACAAAACTGGCTCTTCAAATTTCATAGACTCAATAATTGAGTTGAAAGCCAAATTTCATAGACTCAATAATTGAGTTGGAAGCGCCTATAAAGCCATTGAGTCCATCCCCCTGTTCAGTGCAGGAATCTATGAGAATCTAAATTGCTTTGCCAAACTTAGCAACACACTGTGGCAGCAAAATATATTGCTTTATTTTATTTTGACTTATTCCCTGGAACACCTACTGTAGTGGCAGGTTGTAGGCATCCTTCAGTCTTGAGAGACTACGGTAACGTGCTCTGAATAGAGGACTTGGAACAACATCTAGTATGGCAGAGGAGGCTAATTCAAGAGTGACAATCCCTTCCACACTGACAACAAATGCAATCTGTCCCCTGTCCAGCTCCCTGATTTTGCTGCTTTTGGGACTGCCTCTTTGCCTCGGTCTGCTGGACAAGGGTCTCTTCAAATTGGGAGAGGCCGTGAGGCACCGCCTGCCTCCAGGCTGAACACTCAGAGGTCAAGGTTTCCCATCCATTGAGGTCCATTCCTAAGGCCTTCAGATCCCACTTGCAGATGTCTTTGGATCGCAGCTGTGGTCTCCCTCTGTGGTGCTATCCCTGCACTAATTCTCCATACAGGAGATCCTTTGGAATCCAATCATCAGTCATTCTCATGACATGCCCAAGCCAACGTAGATGTCGCTGTGTCAGTAATGTATACATGCTAAGAACAGTAGTTTTGCTAGGTGAGAAAATGCCAGGAGGCCAAACTGCTGGTACAACAACTCAACAAGGCATCAAGGCACCACACTTACATTTCAGCAATCTATATTTTTCTCTCTCCCTCCCCCTCCATTGTTTAGCTTTGTTTACACATACTTAAGTGGTAGCTTGTAGGAAAGAAATTCCTTTATGAGGCAACATTTTTTTATGTTTATCTTGCTTATCCTGTAAGGCTTTGTCTTGCAGTGAATTTTAGCACACAGCCGTCCAAACCTCATTTTGTTAAGTACTATGTACCTTTCCAGGATTGCATTTTTACACTCTCCTTTATTATTATAACACTGTATACATACAACATTTCAAACCTTGACACTATCACTTATCTTCATGCTTGATCAAAGATAGTAGTGGAAGAGGAGCATCAATGGGGAATTAATACAGACAGCACCTCTCCAGGGTGGAAATCCCTCATGTAAGATCATGGACACACAGATAACGTGATGCCTTTTCTGTTGTCAAACCAACAAGCAGATACATAGTGGTCTTTATTTTCTCTTGTTTTGGATTTTTACAGATGTTGCTTTATCTGGACCATCTCAGAGCTTGGCTACAGAATTTGCTAAAGCTGCAGAACAGCTGAAGAATGAAAACATAGAGATCCGACTTGGAAAAGTTGATGTGACAGAGCAGAAAGAGTTAAAAAAGGAATTCAATATCCAGGAATATCCCACCCTGAAGTTTTTTGCAGATGGTGACCGAAAAAATCCCATTGACTGCAAAGGTAAACCAGCACTTATTTTCAGTCCTCCAGACCTTGCAGATTGTGGTTTACTCACAAGGGGGAGCTTGTGTCCAGCTCTTAAGGACTGAGCACAATAACGTCAACATTTTAAATCAGAGCAAATGTATGCATGTGAAATTTCTCTCTGTAAGGGAAAGGACATTTATTAAGTCTGAGCTTCACAAAGAGTAGCCAGCAAGGAAGAGGACAAAAGATCACACAGACTTACATACGCAGGCAGAAGAGTAAATAATTGCTGTGATTTAAGTATTTTTAAAAGTTGCCATGCTATTTTTTTTCCAGAATTGGTAGCTTTGAGACTAATGTAACTGTTTGAACATGAGGTTTTGTAGTTCCCAATCCACTTCTTTACACACATTGGTTGAACACCTGTTGGTCAGAGTTAGTAAGTCACACTAAAGCAGACCCATTGAATCAGTGGGGATTTCGTGAACCAACTCCTCCAATCAATCCTCCTTTGATCGACTGAAATGGGTCTACTCTGGTTGAGATTTACCTTAGTGTAGTAAGTCACAACTAGAGTAGGCCCAGTGAATCACTGGAACCTATAGAGAAGCTGATTCACAAAATCTCTACTGATTCAATGGCTCTGCTTTAGTGTGACTCTAACCAAGAAGATTTCAGCCAGTACCCAGAACTCATGTTTCAAGAAGTGGATTGTAATCCCCAAAAGCTCACATGGAAATGAATATGTTAGTCTGAAAAATATGTCAACATTTTTCTGCTGTTGTGAATATGATCTAAGTAGAAATATAATGTATCTCACAGAAACAAATCCAAGACATTTTGCTGGTTGAAGCACAGCAGCGATTGGTGCCCTGATACTGTTCTAGTCGAGGTGCACAGTATCTCCAAACGTAGGCATGTTATTCTGGCACCTGAGGTCAAAAAGCTCTGGCCATGAGAATAAGAATGAAGAAGTACAGTGGTGCCTCACATTACAATGTTAATTCATTCCAGCGAAATCGCTGTAGAACGAAAACGTCGTAAGGCAAAAATAAAAAACCCATTGAAACACATTAAAACCCAGTTAATGCATTCCAATGAGCTAAAAACTCACCGTCCAGCAAAGATCCTCCATAGGGCGGCCATTTTCGGTGGCTATCTTGTGAGGAATCCATCCCAGAAAACAGCGGTGAGCCATTTTATTTACCCAGCGGCCATTTTGAAACCGCCGATCAGCTGTAGGAAAATCGTCGTTTTGTTCCTGAAGCAGGGAACCGATCATTGCAAAGCGAAAAAAGCCTATTCAGACCATCGTTTTGCAATCGCAAAAACATCGTCGTAATGCGGTTCCATCATAATGCAGGGCAATCGTAAAGCAGGGCACAACTGTAATCATTTCCTACCTTCATATGATACCCAATACTTGCTATCCGATGTGGTTGCTTCATTTGGTCTGATAACAAGGCCAGACCCTTATTTTGCCGCCCAAGCTGGAAATTCTCCCCAGCACTTCTCCCTGGAAATAAAAGCTCAAAATCATAAACTACATAACCGAAACTATTCCGCCCTTTCAGGAGAGCCCAAGCCAGTTGTCTGTAGGAGTTTAATCACTCTATTTAATGGCAGGACCATGTCTGCTTTTGAGCGTCTTCCCCCCCCCCCAGCAGAAACCATGCATGGAGAATCAGTTTTTAACCCTGAGGCTAGGTATCCTACTTTCTCATGCTAGTGGAAATAAAAATATTATTCCTAGAGGAACATTTTATATTTATTCTAACAAGAGTGCAGTGTGTGAGAGCTGAGCTTACAGCTATTGAACCAAAGTTACTAATCCAGAAGCGTGTCATTTGGAAAGTACACAACATTTCAGTTTATTGCTTCAAGGAACTTATTCAGAGAGAGTGCAGAAGGAAGAACGCTAAACCTAGGTATAGAAGCCACTAAAGTTGCTTTCCAGGTGGGCAGGTCTGCTGAGCTGAGCGATTCAGGTGAAGCCTCTCTCGATAGAAAAAAAAGAAACAGGAAGTGGAGGGGAAATGAGCCAATGAGGCCAATCTAAACATAGACTTAGAAAAGACAAGGGGAAAAATACACACGGGGTATTTAACTATTCTCACAAGGACAAAAGCTGATCCCACGGCTATAAATACTTAACTATCCAACAAACTGCAACAGAGCACAGAGAGAGGTCTGACTCTTGTCCTCTGAAAATGCCGGCCACAAAGACTGGCGAAACGTTAGGAAGAAAAAAACCTTAAGAACATGGCCGAACAGCCCGGAAAACCCCCAACCACTATCGGATCCCGGCTAAGAACATGGCCAAACAGCCCTGAAAACCCCCAACTACTATCGGATCCCGGCGGTGTACAAAAATGTACAAAAATGCTACTGTCTTAAAAGCACTAAGGACACTTCTTAAAATGTCGGGAGGACTAGCAGAGTTTTAACCCAGTGCCAGAAGGATCATCCTGAAGGCCCCAGGCAAGCTGTTCTGTGGAGAACATTCCAGAAATGGAGGGAGGGCGACCCTCCTTCTTGGAGTTTTATTTTGAAACGGTTGTTGCCGTATATGAACGCCAACTCCATTTGCCTGAATAAATGTCACCAAGGATAATAAGCTCAGTTTGTGAGAAATATGCGCGATGGAAACAGTGACAGTATATTTCAATTTAAAGGCCAGTGTTTACACTAGCTGATTTAACCATTTGGACTTCACTGGGTTTTTTTTAATTACATAAAAGAGCTCAGCTGGGCACTTAAAATGCTGACTAACATCTTTCAGCACCTTTCTATTTTCCCTTTTGTTTAGCAGAAAAGCCCACACAAACAAAACCCCCCTCCCTCAAGAGGGTTTTTCGCCCCTCCTTTTCTTCTGACATCTAATTTAATTAAGCTGACTGCTCAATAAGCCACAGGGTGGTCTTGAAATCTTTCTGGATTACCCGGCCGGTCAATATTTTGCATGGAGGGTGGGTGGGTGTGGGTGTGAGGGGCAGACAGTGTTTTCGAGAGCTGCCGTGCCAACTGTGGCCCTACGTGCTTTTTTCAAGGTTTTTCAGGGAGAATGGCCTGGCCCAAAAGAACATCTGCGAAAGCTGGTGATTAGGCAGCTAATTGGCAACATATCCAATTAACTGGGGAAGTCTTGAAAGCATGAAGGAGAATTAGAGACTCAGTTGGCAAGTAGGTATTATTGTGGAATTGCCCGGCCTGCTTTGAGTTTGGCCACAAACCCCTGCCAGGACGAGCCCCACAACCAGGCATAGCGAGTCTCCTGATATGGGTGGCAAGTCTATTTGCTGCCTCGTACACTCTCAGACACCCAGTGTGGTTTCGTGGATTGAGTAGTGAAATAGGACTCAGGAGGCCTGGGTTCGAATCCCCAATCAGCCATGGAAACTCACTGGCAGTGTGGAACTGATAAAGCCACCCCTTAAATGTCTTACGAACCTTGAAAGCCCTATTAGGTTCGCCTAAAAATTAGTTCCAACTTAGAGGAACATAACAGCAAACACTCAGATACAACATACACTGAGGCTTTGTCAGGTTTCTGGGGCTTCTGCCCCAATTCCCCCCCCATCTCAGGCAGAAGTCTGAGTGGACAAAGATATGCAAAGAAATCTGGGCATGAGAAATCAGCACACTGGACAGTTCCAAGAAGAGTTTTCGGTCTGGAACTCAGCCTAGAATGCTGGGGCAACAGAAACGGATCAGGCCCAAAGGGAGCCTGAAATGGACGGCAGGTCCCTTGAAGCCTCGTTCACCTCACCTCTATGCTGCAGGACAGTTCTTGTGGAAACCAGGGGTTGCCAGCGCATGGCCTGGTTTGCCACAAGCTTGAGAGGGGGCCAGAGATGGCCTGCAGCTCCCTGTCTGCAGCACCCACACAGTCCACATTTAATTTTCTTTGGAAAACATTTTCTTTGTTCAGAAAGTCCCCTTGTGCCCGGTTTGGTCAAAATAAAAATTGAGGGACACTGCAGGATGAAAGCCTTTTAAAACACACACACACACACACACACACACACACAAATTGTGTTTTTAAGAAAAAGGGAGTGGAGTGATGGGAGCAGTGATGGTGCTCCAAGCCGTTTTTTTAAAAAAACACACACACACACACAATTTGTGTTTTTAAGAAAAAGGGAGTGGAGCATGGGAGCAGTGGTGGTGCTCCAAGACCATGGGCCCTCTGGAGATGGGCCATGGCTGGCCTACATCCTCTGAGTCAGAAGGCAGAAATGCCACCTCTCCCCACATCTGTGGGGCTGACCCCGGAGGGCCTTCGCAAAGGGCTGCATCCAGAGAGATAAGAATCTCATGAGATTTCTGGAGGCAAATATCCTTCCTGAATATTACCCTTTGCAGGATCCTCCTTCAAGGAAGAGGATCCTGGCCCAGCAGATTTGGCATGTCATGGAAGGGTATTAAAATGTTTGCCTCTTAATATGTTAATGCTATGTCTTTCTGCTGCTGGAGAATGGAGACAAGTGCTGAGAGACTTTCTCTTTCCATTCCCAAAATGACTAGATTGATTTCGGATACTATGAACCTTGGTTTAACTTGATTGAATGGCAGGGAGTGGGCAGTTTGCTACTCTGCTTCAGGCACCAAAATGTGCTAGGCCTTGAGCCCTTGGGTGGCATGGCCTCATGATGGCAACAGGACCCATGTGAGCAGCCACTAAAATTCCCCACACTGAAGTCAAAGCAAGTTTACTTAAGAGCATTGTGGAAAATTTAAATGCAGACAATCACTTTTCCATATTTCAAGGGACTCGGCACTGCTCCGCTAAGGTGATGAGGGACTAGAGACTATCTGAAGTATGTTCTGGAAGCAGTGTCCTATTTAGTGCTGGAGTTTTCAAGTACAGCTCCCTAGGTGTTGTCAAACTACGACTCCCAGGATACCTGAACGCAGACCAGGTTCTGGAACTTGTGCTGCAGCAATAACTAGGAACCCATCTTCAGGAGCGATCGATACAGTGGCTTGTGAGCTGGAAAATATCATTCTCTTCTGTGGCACACTACTGCGTGGGGAAGGGATAGTGTTATAAAGGAGGAATCGCGGCTCTTAAATTTAGACAAATCTTCTATCTAAATTTAGACAAATCGGAAGGGATAGTGTTATAAAGGAGGAATCGGGGCTCTTAAATTCAGACAAATCTTCTGTCTATTAGACAGGCATTCCTCAGACCCTCTTGTACCATGGTTTGGTGCTCACAAGAGATGTGGTCGCTGACTTTGTTAAGCAAGGTTCTATCAGGTTAGGTAAAGGTAAAGGTTCCCCCTTGACATTGAGTCCAGTCATGTCCAACTCTAGGGCGCAGTGCTCATCCCTGTTTCCAAGCCGTAGAGCCAGCGTTTGTCCATAGTCATTTTCCGTGGTCACGTGGCCAGTGTGACTAGACACGGAATGCCATGACCTTCCCACCGAGGTGGTACCTATTTATCTACTTGCACTTGCATCCTTTCGAACTGCTAGGTTGGCGGGAGCTAGGACAAGCAACGGGAGCTCCCTCCGTCGCATGGATTCAATCTTACGACTGCTGGTCTTCTGACCATGCAGCAGAGAGGCTTCTGTGGTTTAACCCACAGCGCCACCACATCCTCCCTATCAGGTTAAGCCTCACTAAACATAGTCACCCAAGTCAGGCTGAGGAAAATATAGCTGGGCTTGCTCCTCCACTTCATAAAACTCAATTTAACCTTGCCCTGATTTCACAAGCTCTGCCTAATTTCCCTTGTTTTTCATATATATATATATCCATGATAATCTGCAGCAGGAAGACCTTAATACATACAGTTATTCATGTGAAGGCTTCACTATTGTGGAGGTTTGAATTTCTGGTAAAATTCCTTTTGCTACATAGAGGACAATAGTCTGAAGTTCCCAAAAATCCACCCCTTACTCATCAACTGGCACTAAAAGTCCTAGTAACTCACTCTGAGATATTTGTAGGAATTTTTTTAAAAAAAGTTCCTTTGCTTAAGAGCTGCTTGAAATTACCGATTATTTGTGCATACTGCTTTCTTTATTGCCCATGCAACCAATCAAACAGATCAACAGCAAACAACTGACACCAACAGAGGAAAAAAGAGAGAAATAAACTAACAGCAAACAAACAACTGACACCAACAGAGGAAAAAGAGAGAAATAAACTCTCAGCAGAGAGGCAGGGCTCTCTTTGAATTCAAAGGCTGGAAGGAACAAATGGTTAGTGCTGAACAGACAATAACCCCAGCTTCGAAAAGGCCTTCCCAGTCACACGAACCACTGAGAGGGTGCAAGGTTGCAAAACCTGCACAAAAGGGTTTTTTTTTTTCCAGCAAAAACATTTTGTGCCAGGGTTAGGGCAGAGAGCATGTAATACTGTCAACACAGCTAATTGGTACAACCTACAGTTTGATAGGATTTAGAAATATTACATGTTGGAGTGGCCTTGGCTGGTTAGGAAACCTGAGGAACTTGCATACAAAATTAATCTTCACAAGCTTTCCTCCGGGTTATTTGCTTTTTCTCTTCTCTTTTCTTTGTACTTCATTTTTCATTCTTTCCCATCTTGAAGTTTTTAATATTGATTGTAATAATTCTTTTTTTATTATTGCTATTATTATTGCATTATTATATTATGACTTTGTAAGCCGCCTAGAGTGGTCATATCGACCAGATAGGCGGGATATAAATAGAATAAACAAACAAACAAACAAACAAATACTCATGCCCTGATACAGGGCATCGAATAATTACCATTCTCCCATATAAATGAAAAATCATTCTGAAAGAGGATTATAATTTTGAAGGTAAGCTGGCGAATCATTGACCACATCTTTTTTTTTTAAATGACAGGCGTTAGAAAGGCTTCAGCCTTTGTTACCTGGGTTAAAAGAAGGCTAGGACCTAGCACCATACTTGTTAACAGCACAGACCAGGCCCATGGCTTCATAAACGCTGAAGATTTGGCAGTAATTGGCTTTTTTAAGGTAAGGCATTGCGTTACTTTCATTGCTGGCTCCTAACCGAGCACAGCTGAGGAATAAAGATGAGGAAGACCCAGGGAGCTCCTGACCAAGGACAGCTAAAAGGTGTTTGATGAGGGAGAGGTAGGAAGGAGAGATCTATTGGAGGAAGCGGCAAAAGAAACGCAGAGATTGAGGAGATCGGTTTAAAAGGAAGGGAGGTATCCTTAACAGCAAGCTAAAACTAAAAGCAATATTTAAAAAATTCTTCAGGTACGTGCAGAGCAAAGGCTAAAGAAAATAGACAGCGGCTCAGCGGCTCAGTGGAGATGGAGAAATGATAACAGAAGACAAAGAAAAAGCAGAAGTTCTCAATTCCTGTTTTAGCTCAGTCTTTTCCCGGAAGATCCTCCAGACAATTGTGAAGTGCATGTTCAGGGGGATAAGATTGCAGCTGGAGGTTGATAAACAAATAGTGAAGGAATAGCTTAGTAACTTGATGAGTTCAAATCTCCATCAGTACTCTTGGATGAACTGCATCCAAGGGTATTGAAGGAACTGGCTGAAGGACTCTCAGAACGGCTCTCCATGATTTTCTTGAAATCATGGGAAATGGGTGAGGCGACAGAGGATTGGAGGAGGGCTAACGTTGTCCCTATCTACAAAAAAGGTTTAAAAAAAGAGAGAAAACTGGGAACTACAGGCCAGTCAGATTGACATCAATCCGAGATTGCTAATCAAATTTGTGGATGACACAAAATTGGGTGGAATAGTTATCGCCCTGAAAGAAAAAAAACAACAAAATTCACAATGACCCAGATTGGTTTGAGGACTGGGCTGAAAACAACAGAATGAAATTCAACAGGGCGAAATGCAAAGTACTGCACCTAGGAAAAAGAAACCAAACACACAGTTACAAGGTGGGGGATACCTGGCTCAGCCATACTATGAGCAAGAATGATTTTGGAGCTATTGTAAATCAAAAGCTGATTATGAGCCACCAGTGTGACTTTTGGAGCTATTGTAAATCAAAAGCTGATCATGAGCCACCAGTGTGATGTGGTTTCAAAAAAGGCAAATACTATTTTAGGCTCCATTAACAGAAGTATAGTGTCCAAATCCTGTGAAGTGCTACGTTTGCCTCTATTCAGCCCTGGTTAAGCCTCACCTTGAGTATTGTGTCCAGTTCTGGACACCACACTTCAAAAAAAATGCTAACTAATTGGAACACATTCAGAGGAGGGCAACAAGGATGATGAGGGGGCTGGAAACCAAGCCTTTTGAGGAAAGACTGAAAGAATTGACTATGAGAAAAGAAGACTGAGGGGTGATATGATAGCACTTTTCAAATATTTGAAAGGCTGTCATACAGAGGAGGGGCAGGATCTGTTCTCGATTATCCCAGAGTGCAGGACACGCAACAATGGGCTCAAGTTACAGGAAGCCAGATTTTGGTTGAATATCAGGAAAAACTTCCTAACTGTTAGAGCAGTACGACAGTGGAACCAGTTACCACGGGAGTTGGTGAGTGCTCCAACACTGGAGGCATTCCAGAAAAATTTAGACAATCACCTGGCTGATATCCTTTTTTTTTAATTCTTGCACTGAGCATGGGAATTGGACATGATGGCCTTATAAGCCCCTTCCAACTTCATGATTCTATGATTTATAATGCTATGATTCTAAATTACAGTATTACACATTTGTGAGGAGATAATCAAGCCCACTCTGGAGTGCCAGAAAGATGAACAAGTGTATTCTAGCTCTGGACTGCCAGAGAGATGAACAAGTGGATTCTAAAGCAAATCTAGAATCCTGAACCATCTCTGGAGGCAGAAGTGGTTCAAACTGTGGCAATCCTAATTTAGGCACACAATGAGAAGGCAGGATTCTCTGAAAAAAACAACAATAATGTTAGGAAAGGTGGAAGACAGCAGGAAAGAATGAAGACCAAATGCAAGAAGAACCATAAACCATAAGCAACTTAATTGCATGTCCTCAAAAACAACCCCCTATTGTGAAAAACCAAGTTACAAGGGACAAAAAAACCCCTCAAAGCATCCTGGGCAATTTATATTGTGCTGCATTCTTGACGGCATTATCAGTAATGGGATGGCAGCTAAATCCCTCTCTCCATAAAATCCTAATGCTATATAAAACCCCAAAACCCTTGTTTAGCTGCCGTAGTGCAGCTAGACAAGAGTTTTAGGGCTTTATATAGGATTTACTTTCTCTCATCTTTCCCATATGAGGCTATCGGGTACTTCCCTGGAGAAATTAGATCTCCTGGTTTCCCTGGCACCTGGGATGAGGCCATGGTAGAATTCTGAGCCCTAGAAAAAAGGTCTCTTTCTGTCACCGAATCACCTTTCAGGGATGAGTGGCCAAGACAGACAAATGAGAAATGTCAATGTTTTGAACTACAACTCCCAGAATACACAAACCAACATTGACTGTGTTGTAGCTGGAAAAAGCAACATTTCCTATCTCTGGTGGTGTGGTGGCATCCTTCTTCACCTCAGTTTATTGTCCAAGCTGGAAAAGAACTATCTCAAGAATGGTACCAAGTTCAACACGGGGGTGGACATTAGGAGCATCCCCAAATTCATATTTCCACCTGGGCAGATGGAAATAGGATAGAATTTGATGTGTTATTTGTTTCAAATTATGTGGGATTCTGGGGGTTGCATTCCTAGGCTACGTTTAAGCATGGGGAACGAAGTCGTTTGTGGGACGAGTAGAAACCCTTGGTGGTTCCCTCCAGCTTTGGGCTCAAAAGTTCTCCATCCCTACGTTACAGTCCATCTGTAGGATGGGCTCTGTCTTTGCCAGCTTCAGCCTGCAACAGTACGGACAGCTGGGAGTTCAATTCCTCACTGTACACCCCCAAAGAGCCAGCCTGGGCTCTGTCTTTGCCAGCTTCAGCCTGCTACAGTACGGACAGCTGGCTAGATTGCTCAGTAGTTTAGGTATCTGATTCTGGGCCAGAGGCTGCGAATTCAATTCCCCACTGTACACCCCCAAAGACCCAGCCTGTGTAGCCTTGGGCAAGCGGCATACTCCCAGGGCACATCCAGAAAAAGGTCATGCTAAACCACTTCTGAGTATTGTCTACATAGAAAACCCCAGAAAGATGCCATAAGTTAGAATCGACTTCACGGCATGCAATTATTATCGTAGTTCTGGTGTGAGGCATAGAAAACCCCAGAAAGATGCCATAAGTCAGAATCTACTTCACGGCATGCAATTATTATTGTAGTTCTGGTGTGTGGTGTAGTGGATAAAGTGACAAACTAGGACTCAGTTCAAATTCACCTCATGGTGTGTTTGGTGTAGTGGATAAAGTGACAAATTAGGACTCAGTTCAATTTCTCCTCAGTCATGGAAACTCATGGTGTGTGTAGAACTGGTAAAACCATTCCTTAAGTATCTCACTTACTTTGAAAGTTGCTTCTCAGCTTTGGAACCAACTCCTTCCTCTTATCTGACTGGCCCATTTGCTGGTGACTTTTAAGAAGCTCTTAAAAATCTGGCTATTCCAACAGGCCCTTTGCTCCAGTTCCTCAATGCCATTTGCTGGTGACTTTTAAGAAGCTCTTTAAAATCTGGCTATTCCGACAAGCCCTTTGCTCCAGTTCCTCAATGGAACCCAGTGAAGTTAGCAGCTACTAAGACCACAAGGCTGTCTTTTTAAATGCTTAAATGCTCAAATGTTTTTGCATTTTATTATGTTAGGGTTTTTTGTTTTTTTTTGTTATACTAAAGTTGAAGTTTTGGTTTATTGTGTAGGGTTTGATGCTTACTTATTGTTTATTGTTTAGCCAGTTCCTCAATGGAACCCAGTGAAGTTAACAGCTACTAAGACCACACGGCTGTCTTTTTAAATGCTTAAATTTTTATGCTTTATTGTATATTTTTATGGAAGCCGCTCAGAGTGGTCAATCTGACCAGATGAGTGGGATATAAATCAAATAAATAATAATAATATAATAATAATTAAATGCTCAAATGTTTTTGTATTTTATTATGTTAGGGGTTTTTTTTGTGGGTTTTTTGTTATGCTGAAGTTGACGTTTTGGTTTATTGTGTAGGGTTTGATGTTTACTTATTGTTTATTGTTTATGTTGTGAACTGCCCAGAATAGCCTCGGGTTAGATGGGTGGTACATAAATAAAATAATAAAAGTCCTACCAGGGTTGCTATAAACCAGTTCTGTCTTGATGGCACATCACTGTACTGATGGACAACATTTCTTTAAACAGAGACTTCAAGGTGGAGCTGTGGAGGTTTTCTATGAATCTTCAAGAGATGTTCCAGAACTCCCTTTTGGGGTAACAGCCAGTGAAGAAGTTTTCACTGATTTTAGTGTCAGAGAAGACATGGTGATTATATTCCAAAAGGTATTCCTATGCATTTCATCATATACACTGAGTAAGCAATTCCTTCAGTCCTGCTGATCTTTATGTAGCCAAATGTCATCATTCACCCACAAGAAGAAGGGTGTATTACCAAGCTTGGGAGAACCTCAAAGTTTGCAGTAGGGTTAAAAAAAAAAACAATACATAGCAGGTGAAGATAGGGAGGTATTGTTTTTGCCTTAATGTCTTTTTTGGGGGGGTTGCAAGGGACCAAACCAGCCTTCTTATTAAACAGGGTGATCTCATGGCTTTCGGCAGCAGATTTGGGATGCCAGGAAAATATAGCAAATTCTTTGATTTTTGTGTATGTGTGTGAATGTAATTTTACTACCATGGATGAAGAGAGATAGGGGTGGCCTCTTCTGCCTCCTGTTCCAAAATAACCTGGCTGGCATTTGATATAATCTGCCTTCATGTGTTTGTGTGTGTGCATGCGCGTGCACCTGTGTGCTATTCGTTGTCCTGTCTCATACCACAAAATACTTTGTGCATAGGGTAGAGGGATCTAAAGGACAATTGTAGAGAAAGAGGACACTGGTCCAAAGAGGTCTGATCCAGCAGAATCCTTCTCATGTTCTCCTTTCTTTTTGACAGCTAGTTAAAGCAACTGTGAAATAGCACTTCAGTCCTTTCCATGGGATGGAAGATGCTCCGAAAGCCAGTTACCCTCTCCTGGGATTTGGTAGGGATGGTGGAAATATTGAAAGGAGGCCTTTCTTTAATTTTCAGAGTCTTTCGTTGCTCTCCGAAAGAAAGTCTCTGCAATATGAAACATTTAGCATTCCGAAGGGGAAGTTAAGGAAGATTACGGATTTCTTTTGTATTTTGTATTTGAATTACTCTGCCTTTTTTTTTGTCTTTTAATTTATTGATGTTTGCAGTGATCTTCTCCTACTTCCTTTAACGTTGCCAGAGTGCCCAGCTGCCTGTCCTTCACCTGGTGAAATGCAGCCTATGGTACTGCATTGAAGCTATCAAAGCGGTGGAAGAGAGAGCTGTCTTTCCAATTCAATCATATTTTGAAGCTTGGGGTCAATAATATGTCCGTAGTAACTGTGTGCAATTTTGATTTTGATCATGATAATGACTTCACTTTCTCATCTGTGTGGTTTCCTGAGCAAACTAGCCTCCTGCAGGATGCTTTCCAATTGTCTACAGCACTGGTTCTTAACCTTGGGTTACTCAGGTGTTTTTGGACTGCAACTCCCAGAAGCCTTCACTGCCAACTGTGCTGGCTGGGGTTTCTGGGAGTTGTAGTTCAAAAACATCTGAGTAACACAGGTTAAGGACCACTGGTCTACAGGCCCTGGGGTTGTAGCAGCAATGCTTCAAACAAGGCTGAGTCCGGCTGCCATTTTGTGTTTCCCACAATGCCCCAAAGTACTGCCAGATTAACAGTATTGTGGGAAATTAAAGAGATAGCTATCCCGAGGTGCTCAGAAGGCTGGGTCGAAAAGAATAATGAGATGGATCTTAGGACAGTCATCAGACGTCAAAAGCTTTGCATTTCGGTTTTTAACAAATGTTTCTTCAAGAAGGGAAAGAACTTAAAATGAAAGATATGCTCTAACTTCCTACTCCCTTCATGAGATCTATGGTTGACTTTATTGCTAAATCCAGTGTTTCTTGTGATCCAGGGAAAGCCTATTCATAATGAAGCATTCGAAGAAGGCAAAGTAAATCAAGTGGAACTTACCAGACTAATCAAAACATTTACCATGGAGTTGGTCACCGAATATAATCTTGAGGTATGTTAGGTGCTTGCTGCCTAAAATCAATGGTATGGTTACCCCCTAAAGTGCTGAGCTGAAAATGTTACTTTTAAGATTAGGGAATATAATGACAAGGAATATAGTGGTAGGATGATGCTCTGGCTGAGAGTATACTATTTTCCCATTCCCCATTTCCAGTTGGCTTCAGTATGGTGTTATGTCCCTTTTTTCTTTTGGGAGAAAGATTGTCTCCCCTCTAGAATTAGGCATTAATGGATGAGTTTATATCTGGCCTGTGTGTTTTCCATATCCATCAAATCACAAATTTGTTCCACCCAATTTCCAAATCATTCTGCATTTCCCTTGTCCAACCTGCACAAAAATTCATGTTCATGTCCATTTGTAACTTTTCCTTGCATACACATTTTTGTTCAGTGATTCCCCTAATTATTATTATTATTTTGTGTGCACCACTTCCTTCAATCTGCACATTTCTGTCTGGAATTTTTTAAGGAGGTAATTGCATCACAAATTTTGGAACAGGGCACCACGGTAAGAACAAATCTATTTTGATTCCCCCTCTTGCTTATCATGCAGAACAAACAAAATTGCTTTCTGTCCTATTTCTTTTAAATTGTTTACTTGTTTTGTACTCTTCATGAAATGTGTACAGTTTATTGCCAGGTTTTTGTTATGATAAACAAAACACAATTATTAAACGTAAGAAAAGAGTTTAACAAGGAAGCATCCAGGAGGAAAGAACTTTTGGTGTGGATTGGCATCTAGATCATTATCCTGAGTCCACCTGCAGGTCTGTTTCCCCCTCTCTTGAAATCATTTGCAGCTCCCATAACCCATGTAGGAGGAGGATGGGAATTGCAATCCAACAAGGACCAGACTTTCCCATCTCTTCTCTAGACTTACCAGTCATCATCCTGATAGCCCAACATCTTTCTTGTAAACTAGGCATTTGCAAATTTCAGATGTCCGGTGCTAATGCTTCTTCTCCAGAACCTCAGAGAACCACAACCGTCCTCTGCCCCCCACCCAATTTGCAATTTTTAAAAAAAGGCTCCCAATTAGTGTGACTTCTAGGAGGCAAAATTGGGTATTGCAGGCCATAAGGTGGTTAGGGCCAGAATGACCAATGTGAGCCAGAATGACCAATGCAAAAGAAACATAATGTGGATGTGCTTAGAAGAATGCCAGGGGGTGCATGAACTCTCTCTCTCTCTCTCTCTCTCTCTCTCTCTCTCTCTCTCTCTCTCTGTGTGTGTGTGTGTGTGTGTGTGTGTGTTCATGCACGTGTGAAGCCTACAACCCAGACACAGCCATACCTCATCTAGAGAGAGGTAATCCTGGAACACAAAGTATGATAGCAATTGCTAGAGAACAGAAAAGCTTTCCATGAACACTTCAGTGCATCCCTGGTGTATTTCAGCTTTGGTAAATGTTAACAATAAGCTCCTCTGAGAGCCAATTTGTGCTGGGGAAAAAATGGCTCATTTAGCACTGCATTGAAATCTCCCAGTAGAACTTTCCCCAGCCTTTAATCAGGGGCCAGGGATAAGCATCCCATCCCTCTAATTATCAGATTCTTTGCTTTAAGGAAGCAGTGAGCAAAGTGGGCCCACCAAATATCTAACTCCAAGTAGGGCATTAAGGGGAGGAGGGGCGTTTGAGCTCACCTCTAGCCAGCTAGATCATCTGAAACTGAGCACAATTGTCAAGCGGCACCTTTTTTCCTCTGGTGTGCTACACACTTGGAATAATTTGATTACATTTTAGGCACTGGGAAATCCTGTCTCAGTAACTTGTAATTAGTGTTACTAGTTCCATGGCAGTTAAAAGTGGTGTCCTACTAATATAACGGTGTAGAGTAGGCAAACTATCTTTCTGGATTCCGTTCTCTACTTGGCAAATACTTATGGAAAATAAACTGTTTTCTGTTTCCCCAGACATCTGTGAAGATTTTTGATATACCCGTGGACAACCACGTTGTGCTGTTCATGCCCAAAAGCTCCAGTACGTTTGTCGAGGCTTATGAAAATTATTCAGCTGTTGCTCCAGAATTCAGAGGAAAGGTCTGTAGAGTTGACAATCAAGTTGAGTTCTCTTGCACTTCAAATGTCAAATATCAAAATATTGCTGTACATAGAGGCATGGCAGTAAAGAGCCTCGTGGCGCAGTGGTTAAAATGCTGTACTGCAGCTAAAACTGTGCTCACGACCTGGGGTTCAAATCCCAGGTAGCTGGCTCAAGGTTGACTCAGCCTTCCATCCTTCCGAGGTCGGTAAAATGAGTACCCAGCTTGCTGGGGGGGCAATGTGTAGCCTGTATAATTAAAAATTGTAAAACCGCCCGGAGAGTGCTTGTAGCGCTATGGGGTGGTATACAAGTCCAATCAATCAATCAATCAATAAATAAATTTTGATGTGCAGGTAACTCATCACAAGGATCCCACTTGTCACTCATTAAACCATAGAGTCCAAAATGGAGGCAGTTGTGTTGTTGCAGATCAACAAAACCTGTTCTAGCAGTGTTCATCTCCATCGAGAATACAATGTTTGTAAGACTAATGGGTCTTAATCACCCATTCAAGATCAATAAGGGCAATGGTCAGGGAGCTGGGAGTTTTCATCCCATTCAACCAGAGGAAATCAGGTTGGGAAAAACTATTCTGGGAAACTTTCCTGCTTTGCCCCCATTCCTCAGATCATGTTCATCTTTGTGGATACTGATGAAACCAGAAATGGGCGTGTGATTGAGTACTTCCGTGTCACGGTGGCGGAAATCCCTGCTGTCCAAATCCTAAATCTGACCAACGATGCGAGGTACAAGATGCCTGCCGAGGAAGTCACCCCAGAAAATCTACGGCGCTTCTGCCAGAACTACTTGGAAGGAAAAGCAAAGGTACTGCATCTTTCTTGCATGGAAACAAATGAGATCAAGTAACCTGGTGGCGCTGCGTGCTAAATCGCAGAAGCCTCTGGGCTGCAAGGTCAGAAGACCAGCAGTTGTAAGATCGAATCCACGCGACGGAGTGCGCTCCCGTCGCTTGTCCCAGCTCCCGCCAACCTAACAGTTCGAAAGTATGTAAAAATGCAAGTAGATAAATAGGTACCACCTCGGCGGGAAAGTAACAGTGTTCCGGGTCTAAGTCGCACTCGCCATGTGACCACGGAAACTGTCTTCAGACAAACGCTGGCTCTATGGCTTGGAGATGGGGATGAGCACCGCCCCCTAGAGTTGGACACGAGGGGACTAAATGTCAAGGGGAACCTTTACCCTTACATTTAACCCAGTTAAAAAGCTTATTTACGAAGCAGACAAGTTTCTCTAGTGTTGCACTGAGTTTATGGTGAGCTGGGGCTATAGTGCTGTGGAAATTTCACATTACTTAGACCAAAAAAACCCACCAATCATAACCCCCCTCCCCATGTAAGCCTTGAAGAGAAGATTAAGTTGAGTGATGACAGCATTCTTCAGGCATCTGAAGATGGAGTGGACATGTTCTTTGTTGTTCCGGGGGTGGGGGGGGTGGCATGGCAAGAACAAATATGTGCGAACTGCAAAGGGGAAAAAGCTTTCAACTCAACACTGAGAGAAACCTTGTTGGTGAATTGCTTTGAAGGGTGGCAGCCTCTCTTTCACTGACAGAGACTGGATGACTATCTCAATGATTTTGTAGTTCTAACATTCATGAATGACAGATCCTGTATGGACAAGGGAGTTGGACCAAATCACCTCAGATCACGTCTGCATTAAAATACTATGATCTGGTGATCCTGTCTTTCTCTTCCAGAATTTATATGAATTCCCCTGGTAAGTCAAAATTCTAAAGGAATGAAATATAGAATACAGTCGTGCCTTGCTAGACAATGATTATCTGTTCCACTGAAATCACTGTTTAGTGAAATCATCGTCTAGAGAAAAGCATTTCCCCATTGGAATGCATTGAAACCTATTTAATGCGTTCCAATGGGGAAGAATTGTCATCTAGTGAAGATCGGCCATAAGAAAGCCGCTTTGCGAACCGCCGATCAGCTGTTTAAATAGCTGTTTTGCGAAGCTTAGGTCCCGAAAACACCCATTTTGCAAGCACGGAGGGAGCTGTCAGAATCGTTGTCTAGCGAAAATCGGTTTGCGAAGCAGGGACCAAACATTGTCTAGCGAAATTCCCCCATAGGAATCACTGTTTTGCGAATCGCTATAGCGATCGCAAAAAGCCAATGTCTAGCGAAAAACCTGTCATGCGGGGTAGCTGTCTAGCGAGGCACCACTGTACTGGACAACACTGGAACAGGATTCAGAGATAAGAGCCCATCACTGTGTTGGCTGGAGAGTTCAATGGTTTAGGTATCTAGCTGTAGAGCCAGGCAACTCCCCACTGTGCCTCCTGAGAGAAGAACCAGCCTATGTAGCCTTGGGTAGCCTCCACAATCCTAGAAGAAGAGGATGGTAAATCTATGAGTATTTCATACACAGAAAACCTTGGAAAGATTCACCGTAAGTCAAAACTGACTTGACAGCATAGAATTATTATTACCATTATTAGTTCATCAGTCCCTATTTATGGGCAATGGTGGAGAAGTTGATATAAGCAAAAATGCTGCTGTTGTGATTATCAATTTAGCTCTAATGCCACACCGTAGCTGGTAAT